ATCGGTGGTGACTCCCAATCCACATTTTTCAAGTTGAAACCTAATTACGGGGCCCAACCGAAAGACGATTACGACAGCGTAGATTGAATCTTGGGTCAATTATCGACTTCGAAACTTTCCATGCATACCACAATGATCGAGTTCTTCCGATTGATGCCAATTCTACCGGTTGTTTTGGACTTACCCACAGTGCATTCATGTTGTAAAATACTACAAGCTCGTGGTCCAAATCGACAGGACATTCTTGTTTGGAAAATACAAGCAAGTAAGAGAATAAAATGGTTACTTACACAAAGTCACTTCACAACCTTCTATCACCACAATCAATTAAAAAGGCTTACTTGAATGGCTTGATGATGAGACTTGTTGTTGTGTGCTTTTCAACTTTTATTTCTTCTCTTTTCGGATTTCTTTCACTTGCACTTCACTTGCACCTATTGGAAGTTGTCCAAGATGGTAATTGCAACATACTTCTAGTTGGTTTTGCCCTTGTTGAAGGAGAAGATACAGATTCTTGGGCTTTTCCCTCATAAACTTACGCTTACATGTTATCACGAGGGAAAAAACTGTGTCATTTCAGATCATGGAGCTGGGATCAAAGAAATAATGGATTCTTTGGGTCCAATGTGGCAACCACCCTATGTCCAACATCGGTATTGTATTTGACACATTGCTGCAAACTATCATGGAAGGTTCAAGAAGAATGATGAGCGCTAATTACTTGTGCGCATGGGTATGTCAAAATGTTATTTTTTATTTCTCAATCATTTTCATTTTTTATGGAACCAAAGTTAGTAAGTTATACATTTGATGCTCAGGTTATGAATTACTACCTGAAACATTTGAGTCTATGCTTCAAGAGTTGCGAGGAAAGAACGAGGAATGATACGATTACATTAGCCTCATCAATAAAGAAATGTGGAAAAATGCATAAGATGGTGGATATCAATATGGACACATGACTACCAACTTGGCTGAGGCTATCAATTCGACCTTAAAGGGGCACGTTATTTACCAGTAACGACTTTGGTAAAAATGACATATTTTTGTTTGGGAGCGCTTGGATAAACTCAAACTTGGATGCAAAACGGTCATGTCTATCACCCTAGATTAGTTAAAGATCTATAAAAAAAGAATTGTTGCATCAAATGGAATGACTGTAACAAGCTTCTCTAAGGGATTCAAGCTAACTCGTTCAGAGTTAATCTACAAGACAAATGGTTTGATTGTGGGTTTTTTCAAGCTCTGAAGTATCCATGCTCTCATGTCATAGCTGCTTGCTCACATATCCATCAAGACTATAACCGTTTTTTGGGTCCTGTATACCGACTTTCAAAAGTGTTTAAGGTATATGAATTTGAGTTCCCCCATAGGTAATAAGAAAGACCCTAATGAGGTTCAGAATTGGCTTCTGATTGTACCAGATCCGTCCTTATTGAGGGAGCCCGATCGTCCAAAATCCACTCGAATTCATTTGAATATAGATTTTTGGGAAACGTCCAGAGAAAACAAAAGATGTGGCCATTATAGAAACCTAGGACACTCTAGGAAAAATGTTCATATCTTTTGTCATCAAGTAAATGTTGATGTTGTGCTTGATGTAGTTGTTGTTTATGAAATCTAAGCTTCTATAATTTAATTTTCATTTACTTTCAGTTAATGTCATTTGAGCATCAACGATTAATTAAAGAAGACAACGATACAACAAAAATTAAAAATCACTAAATAATAAAAACATTGGAAAAATTAAGTAATAAAAAAAAAAAAAAAAATTAAGTAATAAAAAGTAAATAATTAAATAAAAATCTACAATTTTTGGTAAATAAAAAAATAAAGTGTATTACTCTATCGATGCCTACGTCTTGAATATGTTCCGCAGGGTAGTGGTTGTCTGTCTCGAGGAGAATATCTTTATATAACTTGTTCTGATTCTCCACTCTCATCATCATCATCATCATCATCACCATCATCATCGTCGTCGTCATCAGAAGCAGATACATTTTCTTGATGAGGGGCGAATGACGATGTAGCACCTCTATAGAATAAGGACCCTGGAGGTCTATGACTGACTATCCCATCGCTCATAGAAAATTGTGAAAACTGTGAAAAGACCGAGATCGATGAGTGCAAAAACTGTACAGGAGGTGTCTGTGCATGTGGTGAAGCTCCACCTGTCAAATAACTAGTATATGAACCCTAAGTTGAATCTGCAAACATGGAACTATAATATCCGCCAAGAGGGGTCATATAACTCTACGACGGTGGTGGTATTTGGTATAGAAGCGGTGGCGTCTGACCTGGCTGTAGTGGCATATAAAATAGATGCGGTGCCATCTTATATGGCTGCGGTGCCATCTTATATGGCTGCGATGCCATCTGAAATGGTTAAGGAATGTACATCGATGTAGATGGTGGTTGTTGTAAAGGTTCCAATGATGCAATTGAGGACGAGCCGAAAGCACCTGCTCTCCGTCCAATAGTCATGGGACGATGATGTTGTGACGGTGGACGTCTTTGTCGATGTTGATGAATGCTCCCGCCTCGTGCTTCTTAGAAAAGTAGGAACGGTTTCCTGTTCCTGTTGAACTACTCATAATAACCATCCGCAGCCGAGTAATGATCCACAAAAATGGGTTATGTACGGGGTATGCGCCTACGTCGATCCTCCCATATCATTACTCACTTATAGTGATTCAGTAGCCAGTCGACTTCTTTTTTGCCCCATCTATCAATGATATGCAAATCGTTAAGATTCTTAGGTGCTTCCGCAATAGATTGTACAAAACCAAATTGGCGGAGCACACGATCAATGGAATGCCACTCGACAATAACATAACATATTAGAGGGACCACCGTCATCCAGACATCTAATAGACCTTTTAAGTGATGTGGGATGTAAATCCTCATCTTTTTAGTACAATAAGAAGCCAATTCAAACTAAAACAAATATATATATATATATATATATATATTTCTTATCAAAATAATAATCTAATTATATAACGATAATTAAAAGTACATTTTGTTATTTAAATACATACCTATGTGTCAGCCTTCTGATCAATTAGTAGCCTAATTTCTTCAAATTCATCAGGTAAATCTCGATGATCTTTTCCTGCACTTGACCACCTATTCAATGAAATAATTTTTATTATATACTAAATAAAATTATTAATATATGAAATTAGTATTGCAATTACCTCAATAATAACGGGAAGACCAACGGGTTTCTCACCACTGGACATAAAAATAAAATGCGATACTACGCCCAAGACTAGAGTAGAAGGAGACATCCGCCAATAGCATTTTTTATATAGTCAGTAGCTCGACACATTTCCCTATAAAGAAATGCCAAAACTACGGAGCCACAACTCAGTGTGCCGACATGATGAAAATCGATGAGGTGACACAACCACATACAATGAACTTTGTTGCGCGATTTGTCTGACATCAAGAGCCCTCCTATGAGCTGCAGTATGCAAGCCCGTGCATATATTTTAGCCTGCTCCTCGGAGGCGTTGCCACTCAAATACTTGAAAGTTGCATCCAACCAATTTAACGAAATTCGACCATCGTTGAAATTAGGCAGGACACCTCCAAGATACTCTTTGCACAATGAATGCCAGTCACCAGGCGCCACCCCAGAAATCACATCTCCATCTACCGAAAGCCCCAAATGCATGGAAACATCCTCCAGCGTAATTGTGCACTCTCCACACTAAAGATGGAATGTGTGTGTCTCTGGTCTCCACCGCTCAACCAATGCAAAAATAAGGTTGTATTCAAAGTTATAGTTCCCTTCATATTTTGCTACATAATCGAATCCTACCTCGACTAAATACGACCATACACGGGTATGTATCTCTAACTTAAGATTACGAATGAAGGGATCTAATATACGATCTCTCTCATAATTTAATAAATATTATAGAAATTAAAATATAAACTAATACTAAACAAATTAAATAAATAAAATATTAACAATAATTAAAATTAAAATATAATTTAAAATTATTAACGTATCGACAAAATGTTTCGAGATATAATGTCCATCTAAACGTAGCAAACCACCTTCATTTTCAAAACTGCAAAAATTAATAAAAAGTTAATATAATAAAATTTAATAAAATAATAAATTATTAATTTATTATAATACAATAAAATATTTTACATTCTTAATAGAATTTGAGCTTTAGAGAGTTTGGATGTTTGTGTTCGGTTTGTGTTTGAATGAAGAGGGGAGGGGGTTTAGCCGGATGGGGTATTAAATTGGGAAGTGTGAACGGTTGGGGTATTAATGGAAGGCGAAGATGTGATCCGCGCCTTATTGGCGCGTGTCAGAAACCTAAAAAGGCGCGGATGACGATCTGCGCCTATCCTTACGTGAAGCCAGCTCAGATAAGGCGCATATGACCATCAGCGCCTTTCATGACGTGGCGCAAGTTCAGACGAAAATCTGCATCATCCGCGCCTTGTTAGAAAGAGTGATAGATCGGTAAAATTTAGAGAAAGGATGTCTGACAGATAATTATTAACTGTCATGATAATATTTCGATAAAAAAATCCTAAAACAATATTCTTTTTCAGTCATATCATCACATTGACCAAAACTATAGTCCATATCAACACAACATTTATCATTTAATAATGCAATGATAATTTTACATATAAAATTAAATTTAGTTCTATAATTATATCAATTTACAGATCAATGATATTTCTAATTCAAAAATAAAATTTTGGTGATACTTAATACTGGTTTATCCTAAATTTTTAGATTTATGTTCGTTTGATTCAGTATAATCCAAAATTCCAAATTGGTCGAATGTAAAAAAAAACCAACAAAAAAAAAAGTCTATCTGCGAAGAAATCTGACTGAATCACGCCTCTAAAAAAAGATAATTAAACAAAAAAATTTATTTATACGCCTGGTGTAGTTCCTATTCAGGGGTTGTTTGCAACCTGTCGACAATGCAATCTATCTCATTTACTTCTCTAATGCAGGAAAGTCCTTTTTTCCTCATCCGTTCATAAACCTTCACTTCCTTTCGAAATCTCATTTTTCTTTCTGGGTAATTCCCATTTCCCAATCTTTCTAACATTTCCTTATAAATCCTACATGTTTCTCCCTCTTGTTTTTGCTTCTTCGTACCGAATCTAATAGTGAAGAAGAAAAGTTCAGTTTTTGAACAAAAATGAAAAACTCCAAGAAAGATTCGGAACTGGTGTGGGATCAGATTCCCATGAGAAGCTCGTCAGGCAACCCACTTGTTTCTGGACACCCGACACGACCAATCCCTAAGGTCATGGTCTGGTTGATCATCTTCGTTGTATTTACCTACATTGTCTACACACTCAGTCTCTTAACAACCTCAGCTCAGCGAACCATGGAAGATACCCCATTTACTTCTTTGCTGCTTCCCAACAAAACAAGCTTCCCATCTCCGCCGTTGGTTCTCAAACAAACGGCTGTGATATCGCCACCCAGTTTCGGCCGTCGTGATGTCCGAGAAAACCAAGCGGTGGCGATGGAAATGGGTCCAAAGCAGACTGAGATTCAACATGTTGTGTTTGGAATAGCAACTTCTTCAAATCTATGGCAGCAGAGAAAAGAGTATATAAAGATTTGGTACAAGCCGGACAAAATGCGCGGCGTAGTTTGGCTAGACGATCACGTTAAATACTCGGCCGACGATAAGCAAACCCTTCCACCGTTTCGAGTCTCCAGCGACACTTCGAAGTTCCCTTACACGAACCAGAAGGGTCACCGGTCGGCGATTCGGATCTCTCGGATCGTGACGGAGACGCTGAGGTTGAAGATTGATAACGTGAGGTGGTTCGTGATGGGAGACGACGACACCGTTTTCGTAACGGATAATCTGGTTAGGATTTTGAGGAAATATGATCATACTCAGTTTTATTATATCGGTAGCTTGTCCGAATCTCATATTCAGAACATTTTTTTCTCTTACGGCATGGCTTACGGTGGCGGAGGCTTTGCCATTAGCTACCCATTGGCTAAAGCTTTGGCAAGGATGCAAGACCAGTGTATTCAGAGGTATCCCGGCTTGTACGGCTCCGATGATCGAATGCAGGCTTGTATGGCTGAACTCGGTGTCCCACTCACTAAGGAACTCGGTTTCCACCAGGTCGGCGACTCAGTTTTATCACTCTTTTTTTACTATTTGTTTATTAAAGTGCATTATTATGGGTTTTCCAGCCCTTTTTTTTTTGGTATGAGTTCAATACTTGAATGTTTGTCTCTAATTATGATTTGGGGTCAGTTTATCGTGATTGAGAATAGTGGACACTGCCACTTTGGGCGGCGAAATTAGAGATCGCATTCCATCGAGTAATATCAGATAAAAAATTAAATTAATAAAATTAAAGAATCATATTTTATAACTTAATTTTTTTTTGAATTTAATCTAGTTATTTGAGTTTTTATTTAAATTTAGTTAGAAATATATATAATTATATGTGATATATATATAACTAGAGATTTGAGTCGAATTTTAAAATCAAACAATTAATTTTTAAAACTTAAATTTTATCTAAAAATTTTTAAGTCTGAAATCATAACTTTTAATAACGAATCAAGTCCAATTATCTGAAGTCGAATTATACTCACTCGAAACAAGGTTTTTTGGACATTAATTTGCTAATTTCAGTGTTATCAACCCGGGGTAGATGATGATTATTTCGGAGAGTAGACGAAGTGGAACCCACGTGTTGATAGTGTTTTAAACCTGGTTTTGTCGCACAATTATGTCGTCTTTTTGCTCAATTGCAATTCTGGTACGTGGTTGCCACGCACTTTTGACTCAAAGGACACAGCTTCAAGGGACGGGTGGGGGCTCGCTGCACACCAACCCCATGTGTTCGTGGGGCACACGAGACAGTTGTTTGATTTGTGTGCATTTGTAGATTAGATGTCTTTTATCTAAGCGATGTTTTTTGTTTAGTGCTCATAGTGGAAATGGTTCATTGCTGGAACTACTTTTCCACTAATGTTAATGCTATTGACTTTTCACTTGTGATTTTGTCATCCAATACAAATCTGATTCCAAGTTCTTTTCTCGTTGGTTTATGCGTTACAATCAGTATGATGTCTACGGCAACTTGTTCGGACTCCTCGCCGCGCATCCGGTCACGCCATTGGTGTCACTACATCATCTTGATGTTGTCGAGCCTATTTTCCCTAATGTCACCAGGGTTCAAGCCCTTCGCCACCTTATGTTGGCCGCTAAGTTCGATTCCGCCGGGTTAATCCAGCAGTCTATCTGCTATGACAAAGCTAAGGGTTGGACCGTCTCGGTTTCGTGGGGATTCGCCGTTCAAGTCTTCAGAGGAATCTTTTTGCCGCGGGAGATCGAAATGCCGTCGAGAACATTCTTGAACTGGTATAAGAGAGCGGATTACACGGCGTATGCGTTCAACACTCGTCCTGTTAGTCGAAATCCATGCCAAAAACCTTTTGTGTTTTACATGTCAAGTGTGAAAATAGATTCTCAACTGAATCAAACCATGAGTGAATATGGTAGGCACCATGCTCCTCACCCGCCTTGCAGATGGAAGATGGCTAATCCCGATGAACTTGAAACGGTTATCATCCATAAGAAACCGGATCCTCATCTGTGGGACAGAGTAAGTTGCTCTAGCATTAGATTATTTGTTACTTCAAATCATGCACCATGATAACTCATTCATACTGACATTGGTATTTTTCTCATCGGCAGTCACCGAGGAGAAACTGTTGCAGGGTCATGGAATCAAAGGAGCCAAGGACTATGGTGGTAGATGTGGGTTTATGTAAGGATGGTGAGGTTAGTGAAGTATAGTACTGATTGATTTTATACAGCTTCTGGTTGTTCTTACAACCTTAAACCCTGTCTTTTTATTAATTCATATCCCCATGTGTCCATTTATTTATATCTGTCTGCAAATGTGTAGAGACAGTGATCAGGGGAACAAACCAAAAAAAAAAAAATACTTGTATGTTGTATAAAAAATTGCGGTTGAATACTAAGTTTAAACGTTCAATTGGTCCGGTTTCAATCATTGTTTTCCATCTCAATGACCTTGACAGAAGCATGGATGGAACAAAGGGGTTGGTCGAGTGATAATCCTTTTGAAAATTTCAAATCCTCGTATAGTTTAGTTATTTTTTTTTATTTTATATTTATAACATCCCCTAACATAAAATTATGAAATCATACGTCCCTTGATGTACAGAAGTGCTTGATTACAACTTTAACATTTCTTGATTATGGTTAAAAGCTTTCCATGGGTACATTTGTGAATGTGAAAGGGAGGGTTTGGAGCAAAACAACAGTGAGGCAAAGCATGGATCATCGGATTCCAGTGTGGAGGTCAATTTGGTTGGTGTCATTATTGAAGAAGTTGGAAGGGACCAACTGAGGTCGCCTCTAGGGCTAGGGAAAGGTTGGTGGGTCCACATGTACAGAAGTAGTCAAGTAGAAGGACCGAGAAACACTTTCTGTGAGTCCAGACAATTTTTTATCAATTGAAGGTAACTGCCCCAAATTAGGAATCTGGAGTGGTCCTACTTCGTTTCAACTTTCAAGGCACCCTTCCTTTATTATTTTGTAGGGGCAGTTGACATCACTATATCTATAACTAATATGTATTCCTGGAAGCCCAATATTGATCGGGCCTGAAAATCGATTTGATATTGACCGACCCGAAATCCGTCTTAAAACGAACAAATGTAATAATTTTGGAATCAACGTACATTATAATTTAACAAATGGGTTCCAATGAAACCATCTATTGCTTTAATTTACGTAGACAACCATCAAACAATTATCTCCTCTAAAACAAGAACAAGAAAGTGTCTAGCCAAGCAGCATGGTAGCTAAGCTACAATAACCGTATATATTTGATAAGTAGATTTAGATTGTGAGATTTTCTTGAATGGCAGTAAATGAACCCACAATTTTTCCACCCACATCTGGGAATGTTTCACAGCCAGGAAGTGCCTTTACTTTGCCCATCCGATCGACTTCGACCGGATACTTGAGTAGGTGACCCTTCAGTTCTGTCACTTCATCAGCTATGTATTGTTTCCAGTTTTGCTCACCCAAAGACCGCACCCGTCTTATGCAATCTAGACTCTCCGGTCGCTCGAAACTCTCCTCAAGAGCTCCAATATGCTCTGCCCATAGTGACATCCTATATCCATAAACCTGCACTCATTGCAAGTGAAAGTTATTTAAGTCGTGGTCTAAATATGCAAACAAGGACCTTACGTATCACCAAAACTATACAATATATAGTGATTTAAGATCAATGCATTGGAATGTAGCATCTCCGCTTACTTGCCCACATGGATTGTATCGTTTGCTTGAGCCGGTATGGCGAGGCTGATAAGCACCCATCGCTATTTCAGTGTCTCTGGTGCCTTCCATTGAGCGCTGGTTAATGTTAGCAGATCCTATTATGACATACTCGTCATCGACTATCATACCTTTAGAATGGATGTAAATCATAAAGCGCCGGCTCTTCTTTGCAAGTGCCTGTTTTAACAGCATTTGGTTCATTTTCTCATGGATGAGCAGGCTGGAATGTTAAAGAGAAAGCTGAGAGGTCTATATAGGTAGGCAAGGGAGGTACCTGAGGTGTATCCGATGCAGTGGGATCTCTAGCATTTGTAGAGTTTTCTCTGCCTACGGCCTCTCGGTTACCAAGACAAAAGAAATTCAGAAAATCTTGAGGCTCATATCTGTTCTCAAGTCCAGTTTCCACCAATGCCTTGTAAATAATGTCATACATCATTTGCATCGTTTTATGCTGCACAAACCAACAATTATACAGTGTGAATAAGATGAGTTTGGGAGCATTCTGCCGAGTTTGAAATGAATGTTACTGCCTGATACGTAGTCTAGCACGCAAACAATTGATGCTTAACATATAGAAGTAATTTTCGCCAAAGGTAATTGAAGTGTACCTGCCAAAAGAGAATCCTTTGGATAGGAGCGCTGGTTGTAACTCCTTCTGGCCACATCGGGATGAGAATATAAACAGAAAACCTCTCATTTGATCTGATTTTGTTAGCAATTTTCAGAGCAATTTCCATTGGAATTAAATTGTTTGCACCTTCAAACAAAAGCCAAAAGCATGCTTAAAACCAATTATTTGGAGGTTTGCAGTATGAACAAAGACATCAGTATGAATAAGAGAAATGGATGTAGTCAGTCCATTCCAGCCGTTAGGGGATGGAAGTTTGCAGTTATAAATGCTTCGACTAGAAAGAGATCTTATGAAAGGTATGACAAAGTGAACAATTTGGAATGCTGTCTCTATTTTCTCATGAACATCTCGATAAGGAAAGATATCAAAACTTCAATAGATAATTAAGTTGAAAGCTAATTTTTCATGACTCGTTTATCTTTCGTTCCTTTATTTTTCATCTTAAAGGAAAACTTTCTTACCTAAATCTTTATGTGCATCCCAATTATATGATGATCCAAGAAAGTACTGATTCTCGATGTAGATGAAGCGTTGAGCAGAACGGATTGCATTCACATATGCTGTGTGTATGCTCATGTCTATAAGAATATTCTTCCCACACACCAAGTTCTAAACAAAATATGAGCATACAAGTGGGTTATACTTTGCTAATCTTTCAACAATGGTTGATAAGAACAGCTAAAATCCACAGGCTTCTCTCACCATTTTTATAGCATCTTTTGGATCATCTGGAAAACCCTTCACAGAGTTGGAATCGATTGAACGGAAAACCTTCATAGTAAGGAATGCAGGAACAGGTAAAAAGAACTGGAAAACTCAAATACATAACAATAAATTATTAACACCAACAGCTCATTCACGTGCAAAATACCTGAACATGCCAAGTTTCAGGATCGTCTTTGCTCAAATAAGGGATTTCTGTCATCGGAACAATTTCAGCAATCCTTTCAAGCTTTAGTAATGCATCGTCAACTGAAGTCTTTAGTTTTTGAAGCCCGTGAGGTTTAGAAGCCTTTAACCAACGCTCCTCGAAGTTGGTCAGTATGTCATAAGCAGCGGGGCCGTCAATTCGACAATGCATATCATGCCAAGGTTCTCTTGGACAACCAGCTTTTGGTTCCTACAGAGGGTGAAAGATTAATGCCAGTAAAATAGTTTGCTCATGTTGTAGATGATTCCAACACCAAGGCTTTCTATATTCAAAGAAGTATGTTCCACTTCATACCAAACACTGTATGTATATACTGCATTAATACCATATATATATTGATCTAGTTACAGAATAATCTAAAAACAGTTACTGTTCAACTGACACATTCATCGCTTATATGTATATGGTTGCACCAAATCATATTGGACAGTCGATAAACATGTTTCCTCTCAAATATTGCATAGAGAAAATCAAACAATGGGGAGAAGCGATGAAAGCGAATAAGTTACCGTTAAGCAAGCGTTGTGATAGTCATCTTTGTGCACTGTTTGCAGTGTTCTGAAGAGTGGATGGTTTGGATTATCGTACCGACCCTTGCACAAATCAAGACCACCAATAAATGCTGTAATCTTTCTTTTGTCGTTACCAGCATCAGCATCAACAATTACAGTTTTCTGATGATGGGTATAGATTGTTCCAGTTTCCTGGTAAGAAAGGTCAAATGACAGCTTCAGAGTATTTCAAATGTAAATAGCACCTAAGTGACATTTCCCTGATCAGAACACCAATAAACGTTTTTGACATAGTGCATTAATCATACCAACCTGCTTTTTTACCCAGCTTCCTCTTCCAGCAGATCGAGGGCAAAGTAATACTTGCACCGAAGAGTGCTTGAAAAAACGGCGAGTCTCTTCATCATTTGTATCCATGAGTCCATCCTGCAAACCCTAGAGGCCATCAGTGTATTCAAGGCTTCAAGCCAAAAAAAAATGACTAATTGCTACTTGCAGGACAAAACAAATGAATTGGTTCTTATATGACATATGTTACCAACACTCCTTAATTACTCGAGATGGAGATTCTAAAAGGACATAAGGAAGAAAAGTAGCCTTTAACCTACAAATGAATTGATTCTTATATGAAATATGCTAGCAACACTCCTTAATTACTCTACGGGATTCTATAAGGACAGAAGGAAGAAAAGTGGCCTTAACCTAAAAAGCCTTATCAAAGCTAGAACATGTTATTACAGATAAAATCAAGACAAATTCTGTCAAAGAAATAAGATTAGTTCCAATATGATGACTGCAACAGCTAATAACTATGCTGCTACATAAAAGTGCATGGCTCGTGATTTATCGGCTGTACTTATAAACTCGAGAAAAAAAAGGTATTTCTTCCAAAACCAGTATAAACCAGAAGTTGTAACTTCAATTATGAGTTAAAAACAGAGAACCTGGAAACACAAAATAACAGTATTTAATTTTTAATTGTTATGCAATTTGTGGAACATAAAAACAACATAACAAAAAAGGCGTTTGTTCAGTTGCTCACCGTTTTACATCCTAAAATGCTCCTAGAAGTAGGATCATCCCATACAAGAAGCAGCACCCGCACACCTTCCTGTGATTTAAGTTTAAGAAGATCGCCTAGCGTTGTATTGGATGCCATGTTGATTTCACGAACAAGTCTGATATTATGAAACACAGACCATCCTGCAATGTATATCAAACGACGGGCCTGTCCAATAGCATTACAGATGTCCTGCCAGCAACTCCCGTGCTCATATCGAACATTGCCATTAACCTTCAAATTGGGAAGGAAACCATCATGGACATGAGCATCTTGATATAGAGTAACTTTGCATCCTTTTCTAAGAGGGAAGTATGTACCAGGGACACCATGATAGTCAGGACCTGAACCTAATCCTCTATGGTAAATAGCCACTTGCTGGATTGGGATGTACTGAATAGATAATGTCAAAACAGCTCCGGGTTTACAAGGCTTCCCATTGTCATTAAGGATAGGGAAGGTTCCTTCAATTTTTGTGCCTGAGCATAGCTGTTCTATCGGAAGACCGACAGCTCCCATGATCTGTGAGCCAACAACATCACTGTCTTTGACAACAAAGTGGACTTCAGAGGCATAATGTGCAACGGGGACGTTAAAGTGTTGCATCCAAACCGGATTCTCGGAATTACTAATAACAAAAGTCCTCCCAATTACAGCACCCGCCACAGAGATTGTAACGTAAGGATCACTGGTTATCTTATGAGGCATATGGCTTTCGATTTTGCTACTAACTTTTATGTTGAACTTTCCAAACATATCACCTAACTTTTTGTGGAACATATCCATGTTAGGAAGGTTTTTGGCCTCCTTGACCCAAATATCTAAATTCCCATGTAAGAGCAACAATCGCAAGGACTCTGTACTGGTCTTAAATGGCAGGATTTGTTGGCCCTGACCATGGCTGGAGCCTCCAAAGGAGAGAGTTTCATGGAAAAATGTCGTAGCCATTCGAAAATTGAACCAGAGTGTATTCTTAAGGAAATGGTAGTGGAATAAATTTGGGGTAGCTGTAAGAAAACGAAAGATGTATTCTTTTGGATGAAACAAATTGGAGAAGAGAAGAACAAATCTGGGTGTTGGAGGAGATTTGAGGGTATATCATATGAAAGAGAAGAACAAGAGTTTGAAATGGTAAAAGAAAGTGGGAGGCACAGATGAACAAGGTGTTCTTTGAAAAGGCAGGCGATGGGGTCGATAAGTACGCAGATATAGTAAACAATTCAAGATATTGAATGGCATTATTGAATGAGTTGAAGGAAGAAGAAGAAAATCTGAACCACCCAATAAAAAATAGTCAAAAGAGGACCCGTGGCCATTAGTTTTTTTCCCGCGGAAGAATATTTGTGCATGCAAGACATGGAAAAAGAGTATTACAAAGCTGAGAGAGAGGAGGGATGAAGATTCCTATGCAAGTGTAGATATTGTGCAAGACTAAGTCCAATGAAAGAATAGAGACAAAAGTTTTAAGTTGGTTTTTTTTTTTTGCTGAGAATGTTCCATTTAACGTTCGGCTTTCTTCCATTAATTATCAGTAGTAGTTTCTTGTAGGGGTGGGCTTCCTTGGTCAAAACGATGCCGGTCATCGGCCGCCACGACACGACAAGTGATAACGACATTCACAACTTGCATCTCTTTCTGTATTACAAATATCCAAGGCGGAACATAGAAGAAAACCTACCATTACCATCCAATCCAAGCTTGGTTTCGTTTTCATTTCTCATGTGAGTCATCACTTCTGCCTAAACCGTGTACGGTTGTGGTTTCCTATAAAAAAAATAGAGTGCGGTTATGTTTTAATCACTCGTGTTTTTTTATCCAAAATTATATTTAAGGTCACATTTTGATGGCACATCATTAAAAAATAAATATAATTATTGATGATGTGATATTATCTCATTGTGATATATTGATATTATTTTAATTTTTTTAAAATAAATAATTAAAATATAACCAAAACATAATATTAAGTGATTAATATGAAACTATAAAAATAAGTGAATAGCTAAAAACGTCAAAGAAGGTGGAAGCCGCCGCCCAATAATTCTTGATTGTATGGCAGAGTCATCACGAGTGAAAGGATCAAAAGCATATAAAAGAAGAGAGAAAATGTCAAAATGATTAGCTGAAAACACATTAAATAAAAGTCGTATATACCTATCTAAGATTCACTCATGAATATGCAGAATGTTAGCATCCAAAGTTAATTATCACGTTACAGTGGAGTTCAAGGCTGACAGTGAAATTAAATTCTCCATTAGTTGCACCTCATAACGACAATTTCATTCAATCTCAGAAAAGAAAGTTTCATCTCCCTATATGAAACTCCTTGGAATGCATACTACTATCTGTTAGGTGGCTCTTTGGGCTATGCTAGACTAAATGATCCTACCATCTTCCACTAGCAAAAGATGCAAGTTGAGCACAAAGCAGCCCACGATGAACTTGTGCTAAAGAAGAAGTGAATCTATGTTAGTAAAGGTAGTTATGTAAATTATTATGTAAATTCCAATTGTGATTTACGTATGTCCTAACTTTGGATTGGGGGAGTCATCTCTAACCTAATTTTTTTTGCAGGAACCAACTTACCTTAGTGGTTAAAGGAATCATTGATGTTCCTAAAGGTCACGGGTTTGAGCACCAACGACTGTAGTAGGGTGATTAAACGTTCAATGTCCAATGGTTGAGAGTATTCAGAACATATACTATTTTGTAATCATCTTAGCTTAATAAAAAATACATTACCTCTATAGTTAATGTTGATAAATAATAATAGAAGAAAAAAATGATACACAGTTATTGAACCTGATAAAATACATTATCATAAAAATAATTCTGTTCAAATTAGTATAATTATGATAATAGATATTACCTCTATAGTTAACATAAACTTCTAAACGTTGGTACACTCTAATGAGAAAGTGAAACTCAATTAATATTGTTGTTCTCTTTGAAAGAAAGAATTTTGTAAACAAAAATGAAATAATAGTACTTATTGATGTGTGAAATAATGAGTTAAAGCTTGTTATTACAACGGTAAAGGAAGGGTAAATCAGTAAAAAAAAAAGTGATTATCGAAAAAATTTCAACCGCTCAAAATCTACTTAATTTAGAAATGCAACTTATTTGAAAATGATAAGATTTCCTCTTTTTATTTGCATTACTCAATAAATCTCATTAATTCTAATAAATAAAATATTAGAAGATAAGTAAAGAATACAACGAAATCAATCGACGCTCAAGTATTATTGAATTTGTCTAGAATTAATATATAATAAAATAAACAATTCTTCTTTGAGAAGTAAACAAATCTATAACTTGTTAAAATATGATCAGACGCTTAAGTTTTAACTCCTCAAGATACAGGAGCTATTCAATGTCATAGAACCTTTAAGTTGAAGGATCAATACGTCTTTCCATTGCTTCAAGTTGGAGGAGTTATTTACATTTTTAAAGTTTCAATGTCTCAAGATGGAGGAGCTATCTAATGTCTTAAAGTCTCTTGATGAAGAACCGGGATATCTTTCACTGCTTCAAGTTGGGGATGATGAATTCCATTTTCAGAAGTTTGGATGCCTAAAGTTGGATGAACAATATTTTTTTTTTGAAGTTTCACCGCTTCAAGTTGGAGTAGTAGTTTAATGTTACCCAATTAGAGCTTAAATTTTATTAAATTAAATTAAATTAAATTAGGATCAAATTAATAAAATGTGTAAGTGATGAGAACTAAATATATAATTATATAATTTTTTTAACAACCATGTCAACTCCTCCATTAAACATTAATGTGGCTTGATTGCAACACTTAAATAGTTAAGTGGTCTAATTGAAAAAAATCAAAAATTTATGCTCAAAATAAAAAGAAACAATAGATAAATAATCATGGGTATTATTTATCTTTTTTTATTTTATTTATTTACCAAAAAAATAACATTATCAATTCTATGAAATTTCTTTCTATTGCTTTTTTTCTCTCAACCCTAAAATTTTTAGGCGTTTGTTCTCTTTTCTTCTTTGGTTGGAGGCGGCTGCTCCAGTTTTAGTGTTGGTCGCTGCAACTAGTATTTTTTTTATCTAATTTCTTAAATTATATATTTGTTTTCCCTTTATTTTGTTTATTTTTTTATTAAATCTGTCTTTCTCATAGATTTTACTCTGCTTTTATAACACGTTTTTCTCTGCATTTTTGTATGTTTTGAGTCGTTTGTTCGTTGTTTTAGTTTATTTTTTTCTCAGGGTTGGATTTGACATCGTCACGACTGATCAAGATAGCACTTGTTTGTTATCATGTTGTTCTTCCATGCTTTGGACCCTCTGATTGATTTAGATACGCGATTTATGTTCATTGATAGTTTTCTCATATAGCAACCACATCTTCTCCTTAAGTTTTCATCGCCTGCACAATACCACAAAAGCAAGACCTTTCCCTTAGTAGCACCAGTTTTCAATAAATACATGCTACAACAAGACTTTACCACCAAATACAACTACATGACCTAAATGCACTCTAAATTATATGTTATGGGCTTTAAAACAAACAATAACCTAAGTAAAACGGCACAAAATATATCTTTTTTTACGGGTTATCAAAAGATAAACCGTCCAAACAAGTTTTACAAACATCATTCTCCTCCTTTGTAAACACAACTGATTTAACTAGTTTAGAAAGTTCAATTTCTAGTTACTTTGGTGACTCAATTATCGTATCAGCTTGTGTTTTGCAATCCAATTCTTTTATATCCTCGAATTTTATGTCAGTCTCTCAATTTTTTTATGGCAATGGTTTCTTGACTAGAATCACCATTTTTTGTTTTTATTGTTTCATTGCTCTTACTATTATGAATTCTTTGGGCAAATGATGAGTTTGAGAAGGTCCTCAATCTGCATCAAATAACATTGGAGGAAGATGAGGTTTATATACATCAAGAAAAGATACATCAAGATTTGTGTCACCATCGGGAGAAAACTATAATAAACAAGCAAATTCTAATATCTCATATCAACTTGCTTGAGCATAGTCATATATTTCTAGTCTCATTCAATCAAGTGGCATGTGATATAACTCATATTATGTAAGAAGAAAAAAATCTATCTTGATCACTCACATCTTACTACGTATATCGTGATATGCTCAAGATCATTATTTATAGTGCAACCAATTATGGAGCACATTTAACTGTGTCAAAACATATGATAATATAAGTTGAGATAGTAATGATCTCAAGTCAGAGGATCATACATGTAGTCATCACCATGAGCAATGTTGTGACTTTCACATAATAATCCAAGACATATGCTCATAGCATGTCAATCCAATATGTTGTTCTCTAAAAAGATACTCATGTATCAATGTTGACATCTTTATGTTAATGACAACTCATTGTCATCAATCAATCACATGTTAGTCTTGAACGTATTATTATTGTCTATGTCTATACTAATACTCGACCAACGATTTTTTTAATAATAATCATATTATTATATGAATTTTATTATCTTTGAGTTTATTTAAGATAAAAATATATATATAATAAAATAATAACGGTAATGTATTTATTCAATAAACATAGTAAAGAAAGTATGTCAATACAATCATCTCATGATTGGTCTTTAGACATACTCTAACATGATAATCTTCCTCAGTGGAACAAAGTCCAACTCCGAGATATTTTTACTCCTTAGTGCAAACACACAATTTCGTCCTTGCTTATAACTATATATTATACAATATACCCGTGTTACATATTTTAGTGTGCACTGTGTACATCGTGTAATATATATACATATGATATTATTATTATATTAATATAGTTTCTTTACTTTGAACAGCCAGACCCGTTACACACAAATAAAAAAATGGCCCAAGTGACCCAGGCCCAATAAGCTCGTGACCCAGTAGATTAGGGTTTCCAAATACCTTAACCCCATCTCATCCAAGCCAGCGCCGCATCACCCATCCCAGCCGAGGACTTCTCGCCACACACGCGTCTCCAATAGTCCAAGTTCTCAGGCGTAAGACTCTCGGCCACGCAAAGACACAAACAAGAGCAACTAACATCAGTGTTTCAATCAAATTCAAACTCTAAAAATAGTTTTTTTGCTATATATATTATGTAATCAACACACGAGATTTACAGAGAATATGACCTAGAGATTACATACGATTAGGCATAAAAATCTCACAAAGTACAAGAA